CTCTCAGGGGCTGAGCAGCGTGCCCATGTTGATGAGCATGGTGCCTGTGCGAGGCTAGGAGGCTCCGGCGTGGGTCAGCGTGGGGAGGGGTGTCGGAAGCGCCGGCGGGCACCTGCGGGGAACACGGTGGCATCAGTGGTGTCAGCGGCGGCAGCAGTAGTGCTGGCCGTCAGTCGGAGTCAGCGTTCGGCAGCAGCGGAAGCTCCCGGCAGCAGAGGCAGCAGCCGTATGAGCAGCGGGTGGCGGCAGCGGTAGGTGCCGGGATAGTGGGCGTCGGTATGTGGCAGCGGGAGGCGGTGGAGGCAGGGGCGGCAGGAAGCGGTGAGGCACAGGCAGCTGGCGCCGCAGGCAGGCAAGAGCCGGCAAACGGCAGGCAGGCGGCAACAGGAAGCGGCCACAGCGGTTTCAGGTGGCGGTGGCAGTAAGCGGCGGAAGACAGCGGAGGCAGGCGGCGGGGGAAGGTGGCAGGATGAGGGAGGCTGCAGTGGCGGCCGGCAGTGCGGGCAGCCGGTTCCAGGTGCCAGCGGTAGGCAAGCGGAGGCGGCAGGTAGGAGGTAGCAGGTGCAGGCTGCAGTAAGCAGCGGCTGGCAGGCAGGCCACGGCAGGCAAGGGCCGCGGGTGGTGCCAGGATATAGCAGGGGGCGGCAGCAGGCAGTCGGCGGGGGCAGGCAGGCGGCAGACAGCAGCATTAGGCAGACGGCAGCTGTGGCAATTGGCAGGTGGCAGCGGTAGGCAGACGGTGCCGGCAGTGGTGGGGGTAGGCAGGCAGCGTTGGCATGCATCCTCGGGGTTAGGTAGCTGGGCCCGGTGAGCCAGGCTGCGGCAGCAGACGGCGGTGGCAGGCGGCGGCAGGATGCGGAGGCAGGCAGGCGGCCACGGATGCCGGCGGGCAGCAGGCGGCGGGTGCACGCAAGAGCGGTGGTTGGAGAAGGCAGGTGGCGGCGGCAGGCAGAGGTAAGCGGCAGCAGGGGGCGGCAGTGGCAGACGGCAGTGGTAGTACTGACTGGTGGCGGCAGCAGGCAGGCGGTGGCAGGTGGCGGTGGCAGCACTGGTGGGCAGTGGCGGCAGGCAGCGGCAGGCAGGCGGTGGCAGTCGGTGGCAGGCGGCAGCGGGCAGCAGGAGAGGTGGCAGCGGTGACAGCACCAGCGGGTGGCGTCTGCGGCTGCAGCGGCTGCAGGGGCGGCAAGGGCTGCAGGGGCGCCAGCTTTGGGCAGCCCAGGGTCATTGGGCGGCAGTGTGTGGCAGCCTCAGCAGCAGGTGCCATTGGCTTCAGCGGGAGTCACCGGCGGGGGAGGCAGGCGCCGCAATAGGGGCGGGGTCAGCAGCAGGCGGGTCAGCGGCGGCAGCGTGGGTCAGCGTGGGGAGGGGCGCCGGAGGTGCCGGCGGGCATAGTCGGGTTACGCGGCTGCGTCGGCAGCGTCGGCGGCGTCAGCAGTAGTGCTGGCGTCAGTCGCCTTCAGCGTTGGGCAGCAGCGGAAGCTCCGGGCAGCAGAGGCAGCAGCAGGAGTATCAGCAGCGGGCGGCGGCAGCGGTAGGTGCCGGGTTAGTGGGGCCAGTATGTGGCAGCGGGAGGCGGTGGAGGCAGTGGAGGCAGGGCGCGGCAGTAAGCGGTGGGGGCAGGGAGGCAGGTAGCGGCAGGCAAGTGTAGTGGGCGGCGGCGGTAGGCGATTGCAGGCGGCGGGAGGAAGAGTTGGCAGGCTGTGGTAAGCAACGGCAAGCAGGCAGGCGGCCGCGGCAGGCACGCAAGGGCGGTGGGTGGCAGAAGGCAGGTAGCGGCGGCAGGCAGAGGTAAGCGGCAGCAGGGGCCGGCAGTGGCAGACAGCAGTGGTAGTACTGACTGGTGGCGGCAGCAGGCAGGCGGTGGCAGGCGGCGGTGGCAGCAGTGGTGGACAGTGGATGCAGGCAGCGGCAGGCAGGCGGTGGCAGGCGGTGGCAGGCGGCAGCGGGCAGCAGCAGAGGTGGCAGCGGTGGCAGCACCAGCGGGTGGAGTCTGCGGCTGCATCGGCTGCAGGGGCGGCAAGGGCTGCAGGGGCGCTAGCTTTGGGCAGCCCCGGGTCATTGGGCGGCGGTGTGTGGTAGCCTCAGCAGCAGGTGCCATTGGCTTCAGCCGGAGTCACCGGCGGGGGAAGCAGGCGCCGCGATAGGGGCGGGGTCAGCAGTAGGCGGGTCAGCGGCGGCAGCGTGAGTCAGCGTGGGGAGGGGCGCCGGAAGCGCCGCGGGCATCTGCGGGTTACGAGGTGGCGTCAGTGGCGTCAGTGGCGTCAGCGGCGTCAGCGGCGGCAGCAGTAGCGCTGGCGTCAGTCGGCTTCAGCTTTGTGCAGCAGCGGAAGCTCCAGGCAGCAGAGGCAGCAGCAGGCGTATCAGCAGCGGTCGGCGGCAGCGGTAGGTGCCGGGTTAGTGGGGTCAGTATGTGGCAGCGGGAGGCGGTGGAGGCAGTGGTGGCAGGGGGCGGACGTAAGCGGTGGGGGCAGGGAGGCAGGTAGCGGCAGGGAAGTGTGGTGGGCAGCGGCAGGCAGGGTTGGCAGACAGGCGCCGGCGGTAGGCGATTGCAGGCGGCGGCAGGATGCGGTGGCAGGCTGTGGTAAGCAACAGCAGGCAGGCAGGCGGCCGCGGCAGGCAGGCAAGGGCGGCGGGCGGTGGAAGGAGGTAGCAGGCAGCGGCGTCGGCAGGGGGCGGGGGCAGGCAGGTTGCGGCAGGCAGGTGGCAGACAGTTGCAGGCAGGCTGCAGCACTGGGGGTACGCAGTAGCCGCAGATGGCAACAGGCAGTGGCGGCAGGAAGCGGCGGCGGGCAGGTGGTGGGGGCAGGTGGCGGCGGCTTGCAGGCCACGGCTAGAGGCAGGCAGGGGGCCGCGGAGGCAAGAGGTAGCAGGCGGCGGTGGCGGCAGGGGGCGGGGGCAGGCAGGCTGCGGCAGGCAGGTGGCAGACAGTTGCAGGCAGGCTGCAGCACTGGGGGTACGCAATAGCCGCAGGTGGCAACAGGCAGTGGCGGCAGGAAGCGGCGGCGGGCAGGTGGTGGGGGCAGGTAGTGGCGGCCGGCAGACCCCGGCTAGGGGCAAGCTGGGGGCGGCGGCGGCAAGAGGTGGCAGACGGGGGCAGGCAGTGGTAACCCGCGGGAGGAAGCGGCGGCAGGCGGCAGGCCAGGCAACAGCGTTAGGTAGGCGGCAGCGGTAGGCATGTGGTGGCGGTGGGCTGCCGTGGCGTGTAGTGGTAAGTGGCAGCAGGCGGGGGTAGGCGGCGGTGGTAGGTAAGCAGCAGCAGGCCGTGGCGGGCTGCAGGGTGCAGGGGCCAGGCAGGAAGCGGCGGCTGACAGTCGCAGCCGGCTGTAAGCGGTGGCAGAAAGCGGCGGCAGGTGGCAGGGGCAGGTGGCAGGGGGAGGCGGGCTGCAGCGGCGGCAGGCAGTGAGGGCAGCAGACGGCAGCGGCAGGCGGTGGGGGCAAGCGGGCTGCAGGGGGCAGCGGCAGCAGGTGGCGGCGGTAGGCAGGCAATGTTGGCAGGCATCGTCGAGGTTCGGCAGCGGAGGCTGGTGGCAGTAGCCGCAGATGGCAACAGGCGGTGGTGGCAGGAAGCAGTGGCAGGCGGGTGGCGGGGACAAGTGGTGGCCGCAGGCAGCAGTGTTAGGAAGGCGGGAATTGCAGCTGTTGGGAGGCGGCAGTAGTAGGCATGCGGTGGTGGCAGGCTGCGGTGGCGGGCAGTGGTAAGCGGCAGCAGGCGGCGGTGGTAGGGAAGTGGCAGTGGGCTGTAGCGGGCAGCGGGCAGTCGGGGCAGACAGGCGGTGGCAGGCAACGTCGGCAGCGGGCTGCAAGCGGCCGCGGTAGGCAGGTGGTGGTGGTGGTGGCGGCAGGTGGCGGCGGTAGGCAGCGGTAAGCGGCGGCAGGGGGTGCGGGCAGGCAGGCGGAGGCAGGGGGACACAGGCAAGGACGGCGGGCGGCGGCAGGCAGGGTTGGCAGACAGGCGGTGGTGGTAGGTAGTAGCAGGCAGCCCCGGCAGGAAGCGAAGGCAGGCGGCAGTGGCAGCAGGCGGCAGCGCGGGCAGGCTGTGGTAAGCCGTGGCTGGCAGTCAGGCAGCCACAAGCAAGGGAGGCGGGCGGTGCAAGGAGGTAGCAGGCGGCGGCGGCAGGAAGCGGTGGGACGCAGGCAGCTGGGGCGGCAGGCAGGAAGCCCCGGCATGCGTCAGGCAGGCGGCAACAGGAAGCGGCGGTAGCGGTGTCAGGCGGCAGTGGCAGGAAGCGGCGGCAGACAGAGGAGGCAGGTGGCGGGCGAAGGTGGCAGGAGGAGGCAGGCTGCAGCGGAGGCAGGCAGTGGGGGCAGTGGGCTGCAGGCGCCAGCGGTAGGCAGTGGCGGTAGGTAAGAGGTAGCAGGTGCAGGCTGCAGTAAGCAGCGGCTGGCAGGCAGGCCATGGCAGGTAAGGGCCGCGGGTGGTGTAAGGATATAGCAGGCGGCGGCGGCAGGCAGGCGGCGGGGGCAGGCAGGTGGCAGACAGCAGCATTAGGCAGGCGGCAGCAGTAGGCCGGCGGTGCCGGCAGCGGTTGGCGTAGGCAGGCAGCGTTGGCATGCATTCTCGGGGTTAGGTAGCTGGGCCCGGTGGAGCCAGGCTGCGGCAGCAGACGGCGGCGGCAGGCAGGCGGTCACGGATGCCGGCGGGCAGCAGGCTGCAGGCGCAGGCAAGGGCGGTGGGTGGCAGAAGGCAGGTGGCGGCGGCAGGCAGAGGTAAGCGGCAGCAGGGGGCGGTAGTGGCAGACGGCAGTGGTAGTACTGACTGGTGGCGGCAGCAGGCAGGCGGTGGCAGGCGGCGGTTGCAGCACTGGTGGGCAGTGGCGGCAGGCAGCGGCAGGCAGGCGGTGGCAGGCGGTGGCAGGCGGCAGCGGGCAGCATCAGAGGGGGCAGCTGTGGCAGCACCAGCGGGTGAAGTCTGCGGCTGCATCGGCTGCAGGGGCGGCAAGGGCTGCAGGGGCGCTAGCTTTGGGCAGCCCCGGGTCATTGGGCGGCGGTGTGTGAAAGCCTCAGCAGCAGGTGCCATTGGCTTCAGCCGGAGTCACCGACGGGGGAGGCAGGCGCCGCGATAGGGGCGGGGTCAGCAGCAGGAGGGTAGCGGCGGCAGAGTGAGTCAGCGTGGGGAGGGGCGCCGGAAGCGCCGGCGGGCATCTGTGAGTTACGCGGCGGCGTCAGCGGCGTCAGCAGTACTGTTGGCGTCAGTCGGCTTCCGCGTTGGGCAGCAGCGGAAGCTCCGGGCAGCAGAGGCAGCAGCAGGAGTATCAGCAGCGGGCGGCGGCAGAGGTAGGTGCCGGGTTAGTGGGGTCAGTATGTGGCAGCGGGAGGCGGTGGAGGCAGTGGAGGCAGGGGGCGGCAGTAAGCGGTGGGGGCAGGGAGGCAGGTAGCGGCAGGCAAGGGTGGTGGGCGGCAGCAGGCAGGGTTGGCAGACAGGCGCCGGCGGTAGGCGATTGCAGGCGGCGGCAGGAAGCGGTGGCAGGCTGTGGTAAGCAACGGCAGGCAGGCAGGCGGCCGCGGCAAGCAGGCAAGGGCGGCGGGCGGTGGAAGGAGGTAGCAGGCGGCGGCGGCGGCAGGGGGCGGGGGCAGGCAGGCTGCGGCAGGCAGGTGACAGACAGTTGCAGGCAGGCTGCAGCACTGGGGGTACGCAGTAGCTGCAGGTGGCAACAGGTGGTGGCGGCAGGAAGCGGCGGCGGGCAGGTGGTGGGGGCAGGTGCCGGCGGCTTGCAGGCCACGGCCAGAGGCAGGCAGGGGGCCGCGGCGACAAGAGGTAGCAGGCGGCGGTGGCGGCAGGGGGCGGGGGCGGGCAGGCTGCGGCAGGCAGGTGGCAGACAGTTGCAGACAGGCTGCAGCACTGGGGGTACGCAGTAGCCGCAGGTGGCAACAGGCAGTGGCGACAGGCAGGGGCGGCGGGCAGGTGGTGGGGGCAGGTAGTGGCGGCCGGCAGGCCCCGGCTAGGGGCAGGCAGGCGGCGGCATCGGCAAGAGGTGGCAGACGGGGGCAGGCAGTGGTAAGCGGCGGGAGGAAGCGGCGGCAGGTGGCAGAGCCAGGCAGCAGCGTTCGGTAGACGGCAGCGATAGGCGTGTGGTGGCCGTGGGCTGGCGTGGCGGGTAATGGTACGTGGCAGCAGGCGGTGGTAGGCGGCGGTGGTAGGTAAGAAGCAGCAGGCCGTGGCGGGCTGCAGGCCCCAGGGCCCAGGCAGGAAGCGGCGGCTGATAATCGCAGCCAGTCATAAGCGGTGGCAGAAAGCGGCGGCAGGTGGGGGCAGGTGGCAGGGGGAGGCGGGCCACAGTGGGGGCAGGCAGTTTGGGAAGTAGGCGGCAGTGGCCGCAGGCAGCGGAGGCAAGCGGGCTGCAGGGAGCAGCGGCAGCAGTTGGCGGCGGTAGGTTGGCAGCGTTGGCAGGCACCGTCGAGTTTAGGCAGCGGAGGCTGGTGGCAGCAGAGGAGGTGGCAGGTGGCGGGCTGCAGGTGGCGGCGGTAGAGAGCGGTAAATGGCAGCAGGGGGTGCGGGCAGGCAGGCGGAGGCAAGGGGATGCAGGCAAGGGTGGCAGGCGGCAGTGGAAGGAAGCGGTGGCGGGCAGGTAGCTGGGGCGGTAGGCAGCGGTAACTGGCAGCAGCTGGCGGGGGCAGCGGCCCGGTGGTGGTATGGGCAGGGTCAGCGCTGGGCAGCCAGCGCCAGCAAGCAGCAGGCGGCAGAGGGCGGCAGCGTGGGCCAGCCATGTCGGCGGTCAGCAGCAGCGTCTGCGATGGGCAGCGGGTGTCAGTGGCGGAAGCTGGGGGCAGTGGCGGTAGCTGGGGGCTGTGGCGGTATGGCTGGGAGCAGAGAGAGCCAGGGGCAGCGGTGTCCTTGGAACCCTAGCATGCTGCGGTTCCGAGGAAGAGGTGCCCCTCAGCCTGGTATCTGCAGGGCACACAGGGGGCCACCCAGGACCCAGAGGCTGAGCCTGAGGCGGCGTGCCAAGTCCTGCTTCCTCCCATTGGGGAGGCCAGTTGAGTTCGGCCTCTGCCCTGGGCCTGAGCTTCAGTCTCTCCATCTGTAAAGTGGGCAGAACAGCAAAACCTTAGGGTTATGGTGCAGATTTGACGTAGGTAATGGGTTTCCTCTAGACTGGTTCAGAGTACAGGTTGTCATTCCTCTTATTCCACTTCCAGCTGTGTGACTTTGAGCAAGATAGGTAATCACCAGGCCTCAGAATTCTCATCTGAGAGATGGGTCTGCAAAGAGGACCTATATAGGCTTGTTTTGGGGATTTAGTGAAGTAGTACACAGAACCCATTTCCAAAATCAATGTAAATCATGGTTCCTGGCTCGAGATAAGTGCAGTACGAGTCTTTGGGATGAATATCACAGAAGTATTAGTTATTGTTATTGCTAGCACCGGGGAAGGAACACCGTGATTGCCATCCTCATGATTATCATCGTGAGTTAATTGAGGAGCTGCTCTGTGCCTGGCGCTGGCTAAGCATTCTACACCCTTTATCAGTTTGCACTTCTCCATGGGCTAGGATCCTGATAGGCCTCTGAGTCTTAGAGACGCAGATAATGCTTGGAACCAGATTTCAATCCCTTGTCTTTGCAGCTCCAAAACCTGTGCTTCCAACCTCTCCATGATTGGGGCGTATCCGAAACCCTCATGCCTCTCTGCTTGACTCTGCACCTTACAGCTTAGAATAGGGCCTAACACAGGGGAATACAGAGGGATAAGTATTCTCTATTTCTGTTACCGTCGTAGTCTTTATTCCCTCGCAGTGCTTTATGGGCACAGATGTAACGGCGTTGGTTAGTGATTCAGATCAAGAGCTGACAGACCATCCCAACTGAGAGAAATGAGACCCATTTTATGTGCTCCTCTCCCCCTAGAATGACGGTCAAGAGACAGTGATGACTCAGAGGTTGCCAGTGAGTTAAAGAAGTTGGCTGCCCAGCCGCAAGAGCCTGAGTAGACAGCAGCGGCGACCTTTGGTAGCATCTCAAAAGACACCTACACGATGGAACATGCCCAGGGATTTGGAAAACCGGTAAGGCACTTTCCATACACCCTGCCTTGTTCTTCCTCAACTTCTTCAGTATCTCCCAGGAACTCCCTGCTTCTTCCTGTCATTTGAATATAGTGACCTTTTTTTTTTTCTTTAAAGATTTTATTTATTTATTTGAGACAGAGAGAATGAGAGACAGAGAGCATGAGAGGGAGGAGGGTCAGAGGGAGAAGCAGACTCCGTGCCCAGCAGGGAGTCCGATGCGGGACTCGATCCCGGGACTCCAGGATCATGACCTGAGCCGAAGGCAGTCCCTTAACCAACTGAGCCACCCAGGCGCCCCTGAATATAATGACCTTTACTTCTTCCTTTCCAATTTGGATGTATTTTATTTCTTTATTTTTCTTGTGTAATTGCTCTGGCTGGGATTTCCAGTAGTATAATTGACCGTTGTCCATCGTCGTTTTGAATTGTGTGGTCCACTTAATACATTTTTTATTCAGTAAATACAGGCATTGCTTGTAAAGGTATTGTCCTTTTGAATTTTTTTTTCTTTTAAAATGATTATTTATATTCTCCTTACTTAACATACAGTGCAATATTGGTTTCAGGAGAATTCCGTGATTCATGACTTGCTTACAACCCCTACTACTCATCATAACAGTGCCCTCCTTAATCCCATCACCCAGCTAGACCATCCCCCAAACACCTCCCCTCTGTCAAATCTCTGTTTTCCAGCATCAAGAGTTTCTTACAGTTTGTTTCCCTCTCTGTTCTTTGTATTCCCCCTCCCATTTGTTGATCTGTTTTGTTTCTTAAATCCTTAGGAGTGAAATCACATGGTATTCGTCTTTCTCTGACTCACTTATTTTGCTTAGCATAATACACTCTAGCTTCATCAGGATTTTTTTTTTTAAAGAATTTATTTATTTCTTTTTCTTTTTTTTTAATTTTATTATGTTATGTTAGTCACCATACAATACATCATTACTTTTTGATGTAGTGAGCCACGGTCCATTGTTTTCGTATAACACCCAGTGCTCCATGCAGTACGTGCCCTCCTTAATACCCATCACTGGGCTCACCAATCCTCCCAACCCCCCTCTAAAACCCTGTGTGTTTCTCAGGTCCATAGTCTTTCATGGTTCATCTCTCATCCAATCCCCCCCCCCATTTTTCCCTTCCTTCTCCTAATGTCCTCCATGTTTTTCCTTACGTTCCACAAATTAGTGAAACCATGTGATAATTGACTTTCTCTGCTTGACTTACTTCACTTAGCATAATCTTCTCCAGTCCCATCCATGTTGATGTAAAAGGTGGGTATTCATCCTTTATGATGGCTGAGTAATATTCCAGTGTATATATGGACCACATCTTCTTTATCCATTCATCTGTTGAAGGGCATCTCGTCTCTTTCGACCGTTTGGCTATTGCGGACATTGCTGCTATGAACATTGGGGTGCAAATGGCCCTTCTTTTCACTACATCTGGGTCTTTGGGACAAATACCCAGTAGTGCAATTGCTGGGTCATAGGGTACCTCTATTTTTAAATTTTTGAGGAACCTCCACACTATTATTTTTTGACAGAGAGAGACACAGCAAGGGAGGGAACACAAGCAGGGGGAGTTGGAAAGGAAGAAGGAGGCTCCCCACAGTCTTTGGATCCAATGTGGGGCTCGATTCCAGGACCCTGGGATCATGACCTGAGCCGAAGGCAGACGCTTAATAACTGAGCCCCAAGCTCCATCAGGATTTTCTTAATCACACTCTTTTTCTCTAGCTTACTTTGTTGTAAGAATACAGTCTATAATACATATAACATTCAAAATATCTCTGAATCAAATCTTTGTGTTCCTGATAACTTTTGTGGTCAACAGTAGGATATTAGTAGTTCAGTTTTGGGTGACTCAAAAGTATTCTCAGATTTTCAACTGCACAGGGGTTGGCAACCCTAATCCCTGCATTGTTCAAGGGCCAACTGTATGTTGAATAGAAGTGGCGAGAGTGTGCATCCTTGTCTTGTTCCTGATCTTAGAGGAGAAGCTTTCGGCTTTCACTCTTGCATAGGACGTGGCTTCTCAGGTATGGCCTTTATTAGGTTGAGTTACATTCTCTGTATACTTGCTTTGTTGAGAGCTTTTATCAAAATGGGTGTTGCGTTTTGTCAGATGCTTTTTCTGCATTGGTGGAGAAGATCATAGGATTTTTACCCTTTGTTTTGTTAATGTGGCCTATTTCTTTGATTGATTTGTGGATGTTGAACCCCCCTTGCATCCCTGAAATAAATCTGACTTGTTCATACTTCTTCCTGTATTGTTGAATTTCGTTTGCTGTTATTTTGTTGAGGATTTTTATATCTATGTTCATCACAGATACGGGTCTGTAATTTTCTTTTCTTGTGGTATTTTGGTAGGGTTTGATAAGGGCAATGCTGGCCTCCTAAAAGGAGTTGAGAAGCATTCCTTCCTCTTGTATTTGTGGAAAAGTTTGAGAAGGATTGGTATTCATTTTTCTTTGAAAATTTGGTAGAATTCACCAGGAAACCATCTGGACTCCTGACTGTTGAGAGGTTTTTAATTACTCATTTTGTTTCCCTACTGGTAATTGGTCTGTTCAGAATTTGTGTCTTCATGATTCATTCGTGGAAGGTTGTGTGTTTCTTGGAATTTATCCTTTCCTTTTGGACGGTCAAACTTGTCGGGGTGTAATTGTTCACAGTAGTCTCTTATGAGCCTTTGTCTATGGTATCAATGGAAACATCTTTTTCATTTCTGATTATGTGTACTCATTCTTTTGTTTTTTACCTTGAGGCTAGCTGAAAATTTGTCAGCTTTTTTCTTTTCTTTCTTTCTTTTTTTTAAAGATTTTATTTATTTATTTGAGACAGCAAGAATGAGAGAGACAGAGAGCACATGAGAGGGCGGGAGGGTCAGAGGGAGAAGCAGGCTCCCTGCTGAGCAGGAAGCCCGATGCGGGACTCGATCCCGGGACTCCAGGATCATGACATGACCCGAAGGCAGTCACTTAACCAACTGAGCCACCCAGGCGCCCTCAGCTTTTTTCTTTTCAAAGAACCAGCTCTTTTGTTGATCTTTCTATTGCCTTCATAGTCTGTATTTGATTTATTTGTTTGAGATGTTACTTCCTTTCTTCTATTAAATTTGGGCTTCCGTGTTCTTTTTCTGGTTCCTTGAGGTGGAAAGTTAGGCCGCTTATTTGAGACGATTCTTGTTTCTTGATTTATGCCTGTATCACTATAAACTACCATCTTAGAACCACTGTTTTTTAATTTTTTTAAAAAATTTTTATTGTTATGTTAATCACCATACATCATTAGTTTTAGATGTAGTGTTCCATGATTCATTGTTTGTGCATAACACCCCGTGCTCCATTCAGAATGTGCCCTATTTAATACCCATCACCAGGCTAAACCATCCTCCCACCCCCCTCTCCTCTAGAACCCTCAGTTTGTTTTTCAGAGTCCATCATCTCTCATGGTTCATCTCCCCCTCCAATTTACCCCCCTTCATTCTTCCCCTCCTGATATCTTTTTCTTCTTTTTTTTTTTTTTTTGTTTCTTAACATATATTGAATTATTCGTTTCAGAGGTACAGATCTGAGATTCAACCGTCTTGCACAATTCCCAAGGTTTACCAGAGCACATACCCTCCCCAATGTCTATCCCCCAGTCATCCCATCCCACCCCCCACTCCAGCAACCCTCAGTTTGTTTCCTGAGATTAAGAATTCCTCATTATCAGTGAGGTCATTTGATACATGTCTTTCTCTGTTTGAC